GAGTGCCAGATATCTGTGTCAACCACAAAACACCAACATGGGCAGGCTGCAAGTGCAGGAGCCCCTGACGCTGTCTAGGAAAGGAAGAAGAATTGCCATATCAAATTAAAACTGAAATGACTCTGACGGCCTCCCTAAACGACCAGAGACGACTTCCCACTGGCTGAGTTCAGCTAAAGTGTCTCAGCCATTAATCTGCAGTCCCTTTAGGGGAGTGGACCTGCACTGGAAGCACTTCTTGTTTCCCCCAAAGGAATTATGCAATTAAGTCCTGTCTGTCGTGCTGGGCTTTGTCTCCCTATAAAATATTTCAACCGGATCAGGCAGTTTTAGCAAAGGGAGTTCGGCAGCCCCTCTCCTCTGTGGCTATTTCATCTGACATTTCCACTGAGGCTCACAAGGAAGATCACCCCTGCATAACACACTCAAAATGTCCTTGGGAAAAAAAAATCATTCCCAACTGTCAGAGAGGCAGGGGAGCAGGAGGGCTTACTTTCTCCACCTTGGACAAGACCCTGCTCCACTTGCCTCACTAGGGCTTAATATAATTTTCCACACAAAATCACTCACAGCTTCTCCTCTTCAGTTCCCTCAGCAAGAACTGCTTGTCCCCATTTGCCCCTCTCTACTGTCACTTCACAGTGGGATCAAAAGAAGTGACAGTGAGGAGAAATCCGATGCATACAAATGTGAATTTTGGCTGTGCACAGCTTCTGTGCAGCCAGTCGAGGCGGGCTAAAGCCTTCACTCACCACTTCAGCACATACAAATGTGGAAATGGGACAAAGCTTTTGCCCTGCATTAGTGAGCAGAGCCCTGAGAAAGGGCACCTGAATGTCTGAGAGGCCCAGAGGGGACAGGTGAGGGAGACTCCTGAGGAACACCCAGGTGTGCCTGGCCCACCTTGAGAAGGTGCTTCAAATAGTGGTTTGTCTTGGAAGCCAGATCTTGTCAATGCATACAAGCTCTTGGCACACCATTAAATTGCCACTGATATCATGCTGAGTTTCTAGGCAGGTTTGAACTACATGAAACCCAAATGTCATAATAAATCACTGCACTGGGCCATTTTTCGTGTTGGACCCTTAAAACCAGTGAGGCTGGTGTCTACACTGCAAAAGCTGTATTCCACTGTCAGTCACAGGACTGACACCAGAGACAGGATAACATCTTGAAAGCATCCTGGAAATTATTTCAACTTACATTAAATAAATTTAAAGTATCTCATGTAAGATTTTGGAGTGGGTTTTCTTTTTTCTTTTTTTGGGGGGAGGAGGGGAGGTTTGTTTTGGGGTGTTTTGTTGATTTTTGTTGTTTTGGATTTTTTGCCAATCCTGTTGAGAATATTTGGGATAAAATATTTCTGTGTCTGTAATTGAGTTATATGGCAGATTTTTTAGTAAAGTTTCATTCAAATCCCTAAGGTTTAGCCATTGAAAACATGAATCAGAGACTAATGAAACTAAAAGAATAGCACAGGAGCGGGGGATAAAGCTCCCATTTCATAACAGCTTGTGATCAACCTGACAACTAGTTTCAGCAGGAGAAAGCTTCAGAGGTTCAATTCTCCCTATTTTTTTCTGTAAGACACTGTTTTCTAGGAAATGCAGCTGTTCTGACCAGGAAGAGATTTAGATTCAGACTGCAGAGAAGCTGAGCAATACACAAGGTAGTGAGCAGAGAAGATATATAAGCAGGAAACCAAAAACTGTGCCCATATATGGCCTTTCCCTAACCCATCCTGAGTAATGCAAGGAGGGCTTAAGAGTATCCCAGCCAGCAAAGCTTGTTAGAGGAAGTCAGTGAGCAGTGTCTAGCTGCAGGGAGCTTGACCATCATCTGGATACAATAGTCAAGCCCTGCTCACAGACACAGTGGAAAGCCAGCCCCGGTAAGATGAAAAGAAACAATTGGCAACCTCTGTATGCTGGCAAGGGAACCCACACCATCAGCCAATACAAGACACTGACCCTTGAGCTAAAGAAGAAAAAGTGTCACTAAATATTTAAAGAAGGCGTTCAAAAAGAGTCCCAGTTATATAAACCAAAATCAATGTTATTTAACAGCAATTTTTTTCAGGTTGACCTAAATCCTCTTTCAGAAACTCTTGTTTCCTTACACATCACTGTATAAGGAATACAATACACAGTAACACAAAAAATGACAATCAGAAGCCAAATGCTAGGGCTGATTTATGCAATTACAGGGTCACAGCAGGCCAGACAGGGTTTCAATCTGTGGACAGATGCCAAAATGTGAGATCCGTGAGCATTCAGTCAGAGAAATGGGAGCATATCTCAGGAATCAGAGCCCATATTCACCAGCCCAGTGCCCCAGATGAAGACTCAGCACTGCTATAACAAAATGGAGTGAAAGGGGTAAACATAGTGGAGGCAGAGGTACACTGTCTGAGATCAGAGCAAGCTATAATCTACAACATTAAGGACAAAAGGAGCTCACAGCATACCTTAATGTACATTTGTGTGTGGGTTTGAGTGAGATGCAAGGGGAATGAGTTAAAAAACATTTGGCTCTCTACAACTCACACCAGACTGCCAACTCACTCAGCGTGCCACAGGGTTTTGTTTTGCAAGGGGCAGCTCCCTAGAGGAAGATGAAGTGCAGGAAGACCTAACAGTCAGACACCCACAAAGATCTCACATGCACTGCAACAGCTTCAAAACAACCCCAGCTGTGCAAGTGCCACAACATCTGCCAGCCTCCCTAAAGGCAGCTCTTGCAACACCAGCACAGCATGCACCTACAAGGGAAAAGGCTCTTCCCATCACACAGCACACGCTGGGGAATCCCACCAGGAGCACACATCTCCTGTTCAAGGTGAGGAAGGCAGTACCACTGAGGGAATCAAGGGCAGCACAACGTGCAAACTGCCCGGTGGGAAATGATGTATTGGTATCACAAGTGAAAGCCAGCATAGCAGGTTCCTAGGGAAAAGCATTTAAGTCTTTACTCCATTCCCTGGTTTCCTCACTAAGTGCAGGCACAAAGGAGTAGGAAAATGTTTTCAGCAGTTCTTATTATCCATTAATCATGCCTGGCTGAGGTTAGAGCTGTGCAAATACACAAGTCTGCGTCTTTGGTGGCTTCTGAAGTCAACCGGGAAATTTTTAACAAAATAATTTTTGTGATGAAACTGGATAATGCAAGCAAAAACCCATTCATCATTTACACACTGTTATCTCACTAAAAGAAACAAACTGTTTTTCTCCAGACTGGTGAATTTGTTTTCAAACAGTGCCTCAGAGGTGTTAATGAACACAGCATCTGGCTCTAGCAGGTCAGCTTCTGCTAAACCAACATGAATCTGACCTAGAAGGAAAAACCAACTCACTATGACTAAACAGGTCTTACCCTGGCATGCGAGGCACCATGCACTGCAACCTCCTAGAGGCCTTTCCAGGCGGCATGAAACACGTAGCCAAAACCCATGAGGCAATGCTGTAACGCCTTCGTACTCCTTCCAGGGGTGGGCACTGAGCTAAACCACCACTGGACTGAGGGAGCCCAAGCACAAAGCCCGAGATCCTCATGACTCCCACCACTGTGCAGAATGCACCAAGTGCTCAGTGTCCCACAGGGCACCCTGCTCATGTGGCCAGCTCCCTGACAGCTGGGCACAATGAACTTGACCATGTTCCCACAAGAAAGGCGGACAACAGTGTCTTTCTCACAAACCCCAGAAGACCAGGGTGTGAGATCCTCTTGCAGTAGGGTTATTACAATCCCAAAAGGGTTGGAAGAATGTGGCACTTCTGCCTAGCAGCCCATTCTATTCATATACAATGGCTCATCCAACCATAAAAGCAATTGCTAACCTTTTTCTGCCCGGAAGATGAGCCAAAGGCCCAAACAACAGACAGAAGTCTCGGGCAAAGCAACCCAACAACGTGCACAGAGCTCCTCAGAGCCTTCCATGTGCTCAACATGTACACAAGAACAGAAAGAAGAAGAGAAATCAAAGAAAGTGGTATCTGGAGTCTGTCTGCAACTAAATCATCCATCAGAGAATCAAGAGACTCTGCTGTTCAAACTGATCCTTTCAGTCCCCAAAACCAGCACTCACATCAGAGAAGGGAAAGAACAGAAGGAAAAAAAAAGAAAGAAAAAAGAAGGAATTCATTCACTCCCAACACCTGAATGAAGGCAGAGGGTTTGTGAACAGACAGCATATGTACAGAAATACATACATCTATGAAAGACTTCAAGTGTAGAGGAGCAGCAAATGGAGCCAAGATTGCCACAAAAGGTGCTTATGCTTTTGGCTTTAAAAATTTCATAAAGCTAGCTATTTAGGAAGAGGATAAAAGTTCTCTTTTTTAATTTCCCATTCAAAAGAAGCCACTGTCACTTCATTGAGGTCACCTATGCCTACACAGACGCACCTTTTGCATAATTTAGTTATTTATAAGATCTCTGGGCACTTTCATCTTTAACAACCACAACATCCTGTGAAACACCAGATAATCGTTAATGACTTCTACAGCCTGTGAAAAGAGGCACAGAGAGACTACAAGCCCTGGATTCATTTCTGCTCCTTTCTATCTTCACAAAGTTAAGCATCTAGTCTAAAATAATAATCAGGGACTTCCTAGTAGACATAAATACATATCACCACAAGGGTATTTACCTTAAATAACTTAGACACATATTCTAGCATGGTGCCCTTCTACCACTTACAGAGCATCTTGGTAACCAGCCAAGACTAGATAAGTAACTTTTAGACCAGATGTTTAAACAGAGACTGTCTAAAGTTAATCGATTAAGACAGGCCTCCACTAAAAAGGGAGGCAGAAAATCAGTCGCAAAACAGAAAAGTTAATTTACATCTCCCAGATCTCAGAGTAATGGGCAAACTATTGGAATGACCCTTTCTACACCGCATTGTTTCATAACACCTCATTTGGCACATTTGTCCCTGCTAACAGAGGACACTTGTAAGAGAAACACTGTTGGAAGTCACTCACACTGGGCCTGTTTTTAAAAGCTCAAGTTTTTCACTCAGGCTGAACAGGATGCCTGTGTCCCAAAGCACACAGCTTTACTGCCAGTCCTTCATGTCTTGTGGGAGTCACTGCAGGGCTCAGTAGTGTTGGGGTGCTATGAACTGGAGAGCTCAGATTTGCAGGGGTTCTGTAGGATGCTCATTTGGACAGCTGGAAAGCAGATGTCTGGCAAGCCTAAGAATAAACAGAGATTATCAGTTCAAGATCAAGTCTAAAAAAAGAACTTAAAAATGCTAATCCATGTGAAACAGCAAATTCCCGTATCTTTGCCAATGTTTTAATTTGAGTTAGCTGAGCCAAGCTAAAAACACAACTCAGCAGGCACAGAAAGATGCTCACTGTAAGTGGAGGCCATAAAAAAGGCGTCTGGTCTGAGCTACCGCATGACTTGCCTCTCTGCCTGGAGACGGATCAAGAAGAAATCTGAAGGATGGATCAGGCAGAACATGCAATGGCGATTTTGTTAATTGGGGAAATGATGTTCTGACAGAGCGAGCTGATGGCAGCAACAGCACTGCAGTCAGGCTCTGCTGTTCTTCTCTTTAACATCCCCACATCTGACTTATCATCAGTGGGCAGCTGCTGCAGAAATTGAAGCGATGCTGAAATGACAACTCTATTAAAGGGGCAGATGGTCCTTGGAGCGAATGTTTCACCAAGGACTGGGTAGGTATCATCAAACACATTTCTCAATGACTCGAAAATGACAGCTGACGTCCCAAGAGATGAAATTTCCGTGTTACTGTACTGTGTAGCCAGGGGCCAGGAATATTCTTGAATATGACCTGACTTAAAAATGTAATGAAGCTGATTGAAACACATCAGTATGGTTAGAATCCTTGCTAGCAGCTTTTATGGCAGTCATGGTTGAAATGTGCCATTTTGGGAAGGCAGCCAAACTGCTTATACGTGGAGTACAGCTGCACCATAAAGCCATTCTAGCTTTTTGGATGGATCATCATTCATAATGAAGTGGGAAAAGGCAGAAAAATTAAGGAAAGAGATGCCAAAGTAAAACATATTTATACTAGAAAATAATCTGTGGGGTTTTTTTTAAAAAAAAGACTGGAAATCAGATCCATAGGACAAAGCTTAGTGGTCAAAATATTAACTGTAAATTAGTTTTCCTGTTACCATCATAGAAAATTAAATTCAAATTTATGTATATTGTCACTTCACCTTATGCACAAAGGACTGTGAAAGCCAACAAGTAATGCTTCTTGCAATTTTCTCCCTGCCCATTAGTAAATCAAAACTAATATACCCATGGATATCCTTGGAGCATGGACCAATAAGGTAAAACTTCTCAGCTGATCTCTGACGAGAGCAGTGGTCTCTAAGGCTTTCAAGAAACCATCTACCAAAACCAAGACACAACTAACCAGGCTGAAAGCATAAAAACAACATTTAGAGTATAAAGTGGTTAAAAAATCACATGATGCTGATAACAAAGCAAGAACATGGGCTATTCCTTCACTGTTGCAGTGGGCAATGCCAAAAAATGCACTAGGTTCTTACTACACAGTCAGGATTAACCCTCCATCTGCTGGCAACAACCACACAACAAAGCTTGGCAAAAAAATTCTCACTACAAAACAGATCACCAGATTTAAGCCTGACCATATGGGTAAGGATTTTTAGGGACCTTCCCATCCATTACTAGCCTTAGACTGTGTAAAATGTTACCTCAGTCAGCTATCAGTTATGTAGACAAAGGGGAAATTCCTGTAGTCATGTTATACAATTCAGCCAACCTTCACTCTGTATTTTAAGGCACTGACATTTACATTGGAAAAATAAAACAAGGCTTTAAAAAGACCCTTGCCTATATATGCACATATGTATGTACATACACACCTAGGCATCGTGGGTTCAGAGGCCACAGTGCTGCTTGCTGCCATGAACTGTTCCTGCAAATTCACGTGATTGTTCTTGGCAATGCTACAGCTGGAAATGCGTGCAGGGCTGGGACCATGTGGTAAACCATTCTGTTCACAAAGCATGACGTAGTGCTGTTATTCTGACCCACCCTACCTCTGTTCTTCTGAGAGGTGCCATGAATACTTACAGTACTTAACATCAAATGCAAAATAGTAACAGCAGTTTGTAACCGTGTTTCACACACTTATTTCCCGTCTTTATATGCAGTGAATTTTCAACTGGTATCTGTAATAGTTCCTGTGTGCAGTGAATGCTATAGGTCTATGGTTCCATCCTCCAAGTTCAGTCCACCCAAAGGCATCCTGAGTACTGCTGGCATTTCTGGTTTCTTCGTTTAAAGGACGAGGTGGACATAGAAAAGGTACATACACAGGCAACTGCAATGTTTAGGGGGACAGAGGAGCTGCTTTACCAAGAGAGACTGGAAAGTCCATGAGTTCTAAGCTTAAAAAGGGTAAGTCTGATGGGAAATATGATCAAGGTTTACAAAATTATGAAGTCTGTGGACCAGGTACTTATAGGAATGTTTTAAAGTAAATTCAGTATTATTAGCTGTGGGAAGCATTCACTGAAACTAGCAGGAAATAATCTAAAATTAACAAGATACATTTCTAGTAAGGCAGTAGTGAATTTCTGGAATTTGTTGCCACAGTGATGACCTGGAACATCTGCCACAGGCAGACAGTATCAGCAGGTTCCAAAAGGGATTAGACAAATCCAGGGACAATAGGTCCATAAATAAGCAGTACAGGGACAGACAAAGATGGTCCTCCTAACACCCCCAATACAAGAATGGTGGATGCAGGAATGTGCAAGGGAGCAGACCGCACACATGGGCCAGGCTCCTGTGCTCTCCCTGATCAGCACATCTTCTGAGCACTGATGAAGAAGAATCCAGGATCAGATATGAACATTGGTGTGACCCAATGGATATTTCTCTCATCCTTTTATGCCTGATGGCTAGGTGACTGCTAGTTTCAGGGACTGAGCTCGGAGGGGTTGATTTCCACAGTGTCTGTTTCCTCACCTGAAGTTCTGAGTGATCTAACAGGCTCTGGTAATGAATGGGCATCCAAAAGAAGCAACAGCCAAAATTCATGAAGCCTACTGAACAGGAACGCTGAAAACATATTCTTCCTTTTCCCTGTCCCAGGGGAATTACTTCGCTGGCACATAAGCACTATTTTATAGAACCATATATTTCTAATTATTTCACTTTTCACCGCATTAAGAATCCTGATAACTCCCCCTCCATGGATCAACCTGGCAGGCCAATGCTCTTCCCTCTTCAAACCTGCCTTTACCCTAAGAATCCCAGCTCATCCATTTCTCTAGAAAGGCTTGGCTTTATTGCTCTGCACAGAGACCAGCTTACAATGCAGCAGAGCCTGGTGAAAGTTCAGCGCCATCCCTGAGTAGCCCACATGACAGCCCAGCTTCATGGGAACACGTGTTGTCCATGGCATAGCAAGCAGCATCAGGATGATGCTGGAAACATTAATTACAAACATGCCTGCCAGGCCTGGAGCTCACATGCTCTGAACAAAAAGAGCAGAAGGGCATTGAGATGAGACTTCAACAGATGTCAGACGATGGGGAGGGGTATCGCCCTTGCTGACTCCATCACTGCTGCTTTTCTATCGTAATGATTATCTGTCACGCAAAGCCTTTGTACCTGCACTGTATGAATCCAGTGTTTTCCATTCTTTTAAGGAACTACTTTATGTTTACTGGTTATCTAGTGATGACTGACACCAGTGGCAGAAAGCATTTAGTTGGCTCTTCTCGTATTTTAACTATCCTTCACCTGTATTTGTTAGGGGGCACAGAAATAGGTCAGAGACTCCAGCTGACTGCAAAATACCAAGTCAAATATTAGGGGGGGAAGGGGAAATCACTTTGAGTCTTACTTTTTGGTTTTTTATCTTGAAGCTTCAGCTCCACAAGTCATTTGGTCACATGAACTTTCATGTGAAACACTGATCACAATGACAAACTTCACTGCCAAATCCAGCAAGACCCTGTGCCTCAGGAAAGGATGAGACTAACTTCTGAGTCACTGAAAAGAGCATGATCTACAAAACTTGAAAACTCTGATTCATCCTAGTCTGAGGCATCTTAAACCTCTGTGGTTTATTGGCTTGCAGCTTTTTTTCACGGGTTATGACAAAAATGAATAAAGAAACATCTCATTTTAAGGAATAGAAAAGGTTATTTAAAGTGGAGCCGGCAGCTGTTCTGTGGGAACATTCCTAAACCAGGACAGAGTCCTGCCCTGAAGTTAGGAAAGTTGGTAACTTGCTACGTAGCTAAAACATCCCCCAGGCAGCTGAGTTCCACTTGTAAAGACAGTAAGACTGTTTTGTAAAGCAACTGATGTTTCAAGTAGCCTGGCACTTGCAGTACCAATCCAAGGCCATGCCCTTTCCTTTACTGTCTCGTTGGTCACACAACTGCACCTTCCCTGGTATCACACTAGCTAAAGGTGACAAGAATTAGGCCATTCCCTTCAAGAACAATTCAAGATACAAATACCTTTTGTAATTAGCCCCTTAAAATCCTTGGACACCAGGAAAATGCCTATGACTTCCTTGGGATTACTCCTGATTTACACTAAGGAGTCAAGGCCTACTCTAGCTTCATTTTGTCAGTAAAATAATTAGTCAGCTATTACAAGAGAATAAAGTGAAAAGAGGGCATATGTTTACATTTCAAAGCTTTTTTACTCTGCTCCAGGCAGAAAAACATCACGGTTCCCAAAATATATCCACAGGAGGTCTCTTTGCACCAAACACAATTGTTCTTAAGTTACTTTTATCCTACCTAGTAAACAAGGCAGAACAACTAAGAGGCTTTCCACTGCCTCTCCCATTCCTGCTGCTGTAGCCTCTCTGTACCCACCACCACTACCACCCCTACACCCTCCTGGTGCAGTTCCCATCCTCTTGGTGTGTTTGCACAGCAAAAGTGTAGCCAGACTCCACAGGGCCACCTCCATGCAGGCTTTGGAATCACCAGCTGAAGAAGTCACAGCAGACTCCATCACAGATACAGCAATGGTATAAGCCTCTTTAAGGACCTGGATATGCATCAACTACCTGCTACCTGAGTGGAGTAAGCCCACGCTACTCTGTCTTTACTGATGTTACTGCCTGCACTGACTACATTAAGGATTCTGGAAGCTCCCACCAGCCACGCAGCATCAGCCCAGCCCATCCAGGGAACCAGCACCA